CAGTTTCTGTGTAAGAGGACGCGGAGCGTATCATCATCCTGATTCTCCGTGTCCGCTGACGTTGATAAATTAGCTCATTTTTTAATCCACGTGTCTTGTTAAACCGGGTTTTCATAAACCAATTTTTTGTATGAGAGGAGTCGACAGTCTGAAAAGAATCACGTTTAATTATCATTCGATACCTATTGACGAGACAGGGGTTGCGGCGATTTCGCTAATTAAGACTAATTGTAGGTGATCAATCATCCAAGAGTTGATTCTATCTAATGGCCGGAGTACCACAGTAGGAACTGTCCGACGGCCGAACCCCGGAAGTGAAATACACACCACACCCAGCTGACATATCGCAGACACTGGGGATTACAGAGACTGGGGGTTTACAGAGACTGGGGGTTTACAGAGACTGAGGAAAACAGAGACTGAGGGTTACAGATACTGGGGGTTACAGAGACTGAGGGTTTACAGAACTGGGGTTTACAGAGACTGGGGCTTTTCACAGACTGGAGGTTACAGAGACTGGGGGTTACAGAGACTGAGGAATACAGAGACTGGGGTTTTTCACAGACTGGGGGTGACAGAGACTGGGGGTTTACAGAGACTGGGGGTTACAGAGACTGAGGATTACAGAGACTGGAGGTTACAGAGACTGAGGATTACAGAGACTGGGGGTTACAGAGACTGAGGATTACAGAGACTGGGGGTTTACAGAGACTGAGGATTACAGAGACTGGGGCTTTACAGAGACTGGGGGTTACAGAGACTGAGGATTACAGAGACTGAGGATTACAGGGACTGGGGGTTTACACAGATTGGGGGTTTACAGGGACTGGGGGTTACAGAGACTGGGGGTTTACACAGACTGGGGGTTACAGAGACTGAGAATTACAGAGACTGGGGGTTACAAAGACTGGGTTTATTTCACAGACTGGGGGTTACAGAGACTGAGGGTTTTTTCACAGACTGGGGGTTTACACAGACAGGGGGTTACAGAGACTGAGAATTGCAGAGACTGGGGGTTACAAAGACTGTTTTTTTTCACAGACTGGGGGTTACAGAGACTGAGGGTTACAGAGACTGGGGGTTTACACAGACTGGGGTTTACAGAGACCTAGGATTACAGAGACTGGGGGTTACAGAGACTGGGGGTTACAGAGACTGGGGGTTACAGAGACTGGGGGTTTACAGAGACTGGGGTTAACAGAGACTGGGGGTTTACACAGACTGGGGGTTACAGAGACTGGGGTTAACAGAGACTGGGGGTTTACACAGACTGGGGGTTACAGAGACTGAGGATTACAGAGACTGGGGGTTTACAGAGACTGGGGGTTACAGAGACTGGGGCTTTACAGAGACTGGGGTTTACAGAGACTGAGGATTACAGAGACTGAGGATTACAGAGACTGAGGGTTACAGAGACTGGGGGTTACAGAGACTGGGGGTTTGACGTTTGGCGCAGTACGTGAATAGTGTTATTACAGGTTGTATGATGTGGTAGTGGTACTAATAGTAGTTGTGCCAGTAGTCGTAGTAGTAGTTGTTGTTGATGATGTGATTGTTGTGGCGCTGGTAGTGGTCGTGGTGGTGGTGGTAGTCGTAGTTGTAGTTGTAGTTGTATATACTAGTAGAAGTTGTAGTCGTAGGAGTATAGTATCCGGGTTAGAATAGGTCTTCAGCAACCAATGCTTGTAATAAGAGGCGACTTGACTTTGACGTATTAGGCGACTAACGGGATCGGGTGGTCAGGCTCGCTGACCTGGTTGATGCATGTCACCGTTTCCCAATTGCAGTGATCGATGCTCATGCTGGATTGTCTGGTCCAGACCGCCGCCATGTGGCTAGAATAATGCTGAGTGCGGTGTTAAACAACAAACAAACAAAAAAGCCACCAGGTGACACGGATGGCCCAGTCGTCTGTTGCAGAGTTGTGTCCCTTAGGCACGCCAGAAGCCTATGATTGTGGGTTTCTCGGTTTGTCAGCACCATACCCGTGGTTGTGAGTCTAATTGAAGTGGTAAACGTCTGAGATCGGCATCACTCTGGGCTTTGCTTGTTTTAGTTGGTGTTATATTGTTGGTAGAAGTTGTGGTAGTAGTACAGGTAGTTTAGTAGTTATTCCAGCTATATGACGGCGGTCTGTAAATAATCGAGTCTGGACCAGACAATCCAGTGATTAACTAGCAGTTGTAGTAGTAGTAGTAGTAGTAGTAGTAGTAGTAGTAGTAGTAGTAGTAGTAGAAGTTGTGGTAGAAGTTGTGGTAGAAGTTGTGGTAGAAGTTGTGGTAGTAGTACAGGTAGTTTAGTAGTTATTCCAGCTATATGACGGCGGTCTGTAAATAATCGAGTCTGGACCAGACAATCCAGTGATTAACTAGCAGCATACAGCATACAGACGCGATGACCACTTTCAACAGTTCATTTGAACACACAATTGGAAGAATCGACTGCGACGTCTAATGAAATCATCACGGAAATACGTATTTTACTGCCGCTTCGGTAAGTGTTCCCAGATCGCAGAAGCGGTGTTGATAATATCAAGTTGTGTAAACGAAAGAACTGAGGAATCTTGCTTAGACAGGCTTAGGAACAGTATTTCAGTTATATCACGGCGTGTCAGCTTAATGGGGGAGGAAAACCCGAAGTGACGTAGGTTGCAGGCTTATGCCATACACTTGGTCATACAACGAGTACCGTTTTAGTGATGTAGGTTGTAGGCTAGGGCCATGCACTTGGTCATACAAAGAGTACCGTTTTAGTGATGCAGGTTGGAGGCCTATGCCATACACTTGGTCATACAACGAGCACCGTTTTAGTGAAGTAGGTTGTGGGCTAATGCCATACACTTGGTCGTACAACGAGTACCGTTTTAGTCAAGTAGGTTGTGGGCTAATGCCATGCACTTCGTCATACAACGAGTACCGTTTTACTGATGTTGGTTGTGGGATAATGCCATGCACCTGGTCATACAACGAGCACCGTTTTACTGATGTAGGTTGTAGGCTAATGCCATGCACCTGGGCATACAACGAGTACCGTTTTAGTGCTGTAGGTTGTAGGCTTATGCCATGCACTTGGTCATACAACGAGCACGGTTTTAGTGAAGTAGGTTGTAGGCTAATGCCATGCACTTGGCCATACAACGAGCACGGTTTTAGTGATTTGAGTCGTGGGCTAATGCCATGCACTTGGTCATACAACGAGTACCGTTTAAGTAAAGTAGGTCGTGGGCTAATGCCATGCATATGGTCATACAACGAGTACCGTTCTAGTGATGTAGGTTGTAGGCTAATGCCATGCACTTGGTCATACAACGAGCACAGTTGTAGTGATGTAGGTTGTGGGATAATGCCATGCACTTGGTCACACAACGAGCACCGTTGTAGTGATGTAGGTTGTGGGATAATGCCATGCACTTGGTCATACAACGAGCACAGTTGTAGTGATGTAGGTTGTGGGCTAATGCCATACACTTGATCATATAACGAACACAGTTGTAATGATGTAGGTAGTAGTGATGTAGCAGTAGTAGTAGTAGTAGCAGTAGTAGCAGTAGCAGCAGTTGTAGAATCAGCAGTAGTAGTAGTTATAGCAGTAGTAGTAGTAGCAGCAGCAGCAGTAGCAGTAGTAGTAGTAGTAGTCAAAGTAGCAATAGCAGGGGCAGTAGCAGTAGTACCAGTAGCAGTAGTAGTAGTCATAGCAGCAGCAGCAGTAGTAGTAGTAGCAGCAGCAGCAGCAGCAGCAGTAGTATTAGTCAAAGTAGCAATAGTAGTAGTCATAGCGGCAGCAGTAGTAGTATTTGTAGTAGTAGTAGCAGCAGCAGCAGCAGTAGTAGGAGGAGCAGGAGCAGCAACAGTAGCAGTAGAAGCAGCAGTAGTAGGAACAGTAGCAGTAGTAGCAGCAGTAGTAAGAACAGTAGTAGTAGTAGAAGTCATAGCAGCAGCAGTAGTAGGAGGAGGAGGAGCAGCAGCAGTAGTAGTAGTAGTAGCAGCAGCAGTAGTAGTAGTAGTAGCAGTAGTAGCAGCAGTAGTAAGAACAGTAGTAGTAGTAGTCATAGCAGCAGCAGTAGTAGTAGGAGGAGGAGCAGCAGCAGCAGTAGTAGTAGTAGCAGCAGCAGTAGTAGTAGTAGTAGTAGTAGCAGTAGTAGCAGCAGTAGTAAGAACAGGAGTAGTAGTAGTCATAGCAGCAGCAGTAGTAGTAGTAGCAGCAGCAGTAGTAGTAGTAGTAGTAGTAGCAGTAGTAGCAGCAGTAGTAAGAACAGTAGTAGTAGTAGTCATAGCAGCAGCAGTAGTAGTAGGAGGAGGAGCAGCAGCAGTAGTAGTAGTAGTAGCAGCAGCAGTAGTAGTAGTAGTAGTAGTAGTAGTAGTAGCAGTAGTAGCAGCAGTAGTAGGAGGAGGAGGAGCAGCAACAGTAGCAGTAGAAGCAGCAGTAGTAGGAACAGTAGCAGTAGTAGCAGCAGCAGCAGCAGCAGTAGTATTAGTCAAAGTAGCAATAGTAGTAGTCATAGCGGCAGCAGTAGTAGTATTTGTAGTAGTAGTAGCAGCAGCAGCAGCAGTAGTAGTAGGAGGAGGAGGAGCAGCAACAGTAGCAGTAGAAGCAGCAGTAGTAGGAACAGTAGCAGTAGTAGCAGCAGTAGTAGTAGTAGTAGCAGTAGTAGCAGTAGTAGCAGCAGTAGTAGTATTAGTAGCAGTAGTAGCAGCAGTAGTAGGAGGAGGAGGAGCAGCAACAGTAGCAGCAGCAGCAGCAGTAGTAGGAACAGTAGCAGTAGTAGCAGCAGCAGCAGCAGCAGTAGTATTAGTCAAAGTAGCAATAGTAGTAGTCATAGCGGCAGCAGTAGTAGTATTTGTAGTAGTAGTAGCAGCAGCAGCAGCAGTAGTAGTAGGAGGAGGAGGAGCAGCAACAGTAGCAGTAGAAGCAGCAGTAGTAAGAACAGTAGTAGTAGTAGCAGCAGCAGTAGTAGGAACAGTAGCAGTAGTAGCAGCAGTAGTAGTAGTAGTAGCAGTAGTAGCAGTAGTAGCAGCAGTAGTAGTAGTAGTAGCAGTAGTAGCAGCAGTAGTAGGAGGAGGAGGAGGAGCAGCAGCAGTAGTAGTAGTAGTAGCAGCAGCAGTAGTAGTAGTAGTAGCAGTAGTAGCAGCAGTAGTAAGAACAGTAGTAGTAGTAGTAGTAGTAGTAGCAGCAGCAGTAGTAGTAGGAGGAGGAGCAGCAGCAGTAGTAGTAGTAGTAGCAGCAGCAGTAGTAGTAGTAGTAGCAGTAGTAGCAGCAGTAGTAAGAACAGTAGTAGTAGTAGTCATAGCAGCAGCAGTAGTAGGAGGAGGAGGAGCAGCAGCAGTAGTAGTAGTAGTAGCAACAGTAGTAGTAGTAGTAGTAGTAGTAGTAGCAGTAGTAGCAGCAGTAGTAGTAGTAGTAGCAGTAGTAGCAGCAGTAGTAGGAGGAGGAGGAGCAGCAACAGCAGTAGTAGTAGTAGCAGCAGCAGTAGTAGGAGGAGGAGGAGCAGCAGCAGTAGTAGTAGTAGTAGCAGCAGCAGTAGTAGTAGTAGTAGCAGTAGTAGCAGCAGTAGTAAGAACAGTAGTAGTAGTAGTCATAGCAGCAGCAGTAGTAGTAGGAGGAGGAGCAGCAGCAGTAGTAGTAGTAGTAGCAGCAGCAGTAGTAGTAGTAGTAGCAGTAGTAGCAGCAGTAGTAAGAACAGTAGTAGTAGTAGTCATAGCAGCAGCAGTAGTAGTAGGAGGAGGAGCAGCAGCAGCAGTAGTAGTAGTAGCAGCAGCAGTAGTAGTAGTAGTAGTAGTAGCAGTAGTAGCAGCAGTAGTAGTAGTAGTAGCAGTAGTAGCAGCAGTAGTAGGAGGAGGAGGAGCAGCAGCAGTAGTAGTAGTAGTAGCAGCAGCAGTAGTAGTAGTAGTAGTAGTAGTAGTAGTAGCAGTAGTAGCAGCAGCAGCAGTAGTAGTAGTAGCAGCAGGAGCAGTAGTAGTAGTAGTAGGAGTAGTAGCAGTAGTACTGTCAGAATACTGCCAGGCGATTTGTCTCATCAGTCCACGTGAACAAATAATGGGAGGCTTTGATATCGGTATGAAATCGGGACGGAAATAAGTATTTTACTGCCGCTTCGGTAAGTTTTTAAAGCCCGTCGAAGCGGCGTCCGAAACTACCATCAAGCTGTGGAAACTGAGATCTGATGAACATCACGACTTGCATGAACCAGTTTCTCGTCATGAGTTCAACATGTGTAGTCAATACTTAACAGTCTTCACCGTGATACGTATTCAATATTGCTAAAATCGGCTTGAACCCCATCACTTTCAATCATAGCTTCAAGGCCACAATCACCATCAAATGGCCGTAAAAGGGGAGGTCCACGGTTCGACATGTACCAATTGACGTGAAAAGATGGTACTTGTTGTTTCCTTTCACGATGGTTGTGCTGAATCCAAATCCGGCATGGACAATAGACATCCTAGTTCACCCACGTGACCGTTACGTGGTCATGGAAGCAATTTTGGCATTCCCTGGAACTTGATTCATTACGTCGTATTTTAAGCCTGAAGGTGTTCAAGTGATATGATGCGCTTTGTGAAGTAAGACCCGTTTTATTACAATAAAGATCATGAACTTAGGATGTAGAAGGGACATAACTCGTAATATCCATTAGTGGGGCTACGATCGAGCTACGTAATTCCAGCCTAGTTCGGCAAGAGTGGAAACTGGACTTTAACAGTCAGATAATTCCCTTGCCTCGGGAAGATGGAACAAACCATGACGTGACGTCACTGTATACCGTTTCAACCTGAGCTTTGCGGATCACGGGCGCCGGATTTACAGGGTGAACGTTTTGCGCCTAGCTGTTTTCGAAAGAAATCGTTTCGGAGGGGGGGGGGGGGGAGTCGTGGTCTGCGTTCAATTAATGTCAACTTCTAGTTAGTCGTCATCAAGGGAAACCCAACGAGCCCAAGCTGGAAACATACGAGCCTTTATACGACACGGCCCAGTCTCTTTGTGAGCATATCAAAGACAGCAAGCTAGGCATTCTGGCAATAACAGAGACCTAACTTAGTGAGTGAGAATGGTTTTACGCCGCTTTTAGCAATATTCCAGCAATATCACGGCGAGACACCAGAAATGGGCTTCACACATTGTACCCATGTCGGGAATCGAACCCGGGTCTTCGGCGTGACGAGCGAACGCTTTAACCACTAGGCTACCCGACCGCCCCACCTGGCTTGGAAATGAAAACTCGCGCATCAAATTATAACGGGTAAAATGACCCCAAATGCCAGCAGGTTTATTCAGACTGCCAGACGAGGAGCAGGTGGTGGCTGACGGCTTTTATATATAACGATAAGCAGACAATGATAGCAATCTAAAGATGTGGAACTCGCCAACTCTCAATACAGCCATAGCAGTTCATGATCACCACCAACATGTTGTAAAATCTATGTGTACATCTCTTTAAAATCAATGCTTTTCTTCCTGTGTAGCGATGCCTGACTGGGCCCTTTCTTCGTCTACCGGAGCTGATCCATAACACATGTATATTGACAATGCCAGAAGTTAGTATGAGATTACTTAACAGTCATACATAACTGGATATTACATTTAAAGACAATCGGTGCATGAATAAAACATCTGTCTGATTAGCTATCACTATATTTCATCAACAACCAGACCTGTTCGTCACGGGTGGAACGAGCATTCATTGAAACAGCCATCTGCATAATGCTACCCCTGCGTCACAGGGCCATATGACACAGTTGAACCAATCAACTCAACTCGAAAGGATGCACGGGAATCACGCACGTTGAGACGCACAACGCTCACACTCATCTACAGGATGAGGTTTCTTGGGATGGAGCTGATGTGTGTTTATTCCTTTGCGTGTCTATTAGTGTCAATATTAGGTAGTCCTATGTGTTCAAGTTGGAGGCGATTTGGACCACTTCAGGTGAACTCGTCAATTTTGAATGCGACATTTGAAACAGTCGACCACGTGGGCCTGCTACAATGTGTACGAGGATGTTATGTGAGGAGTCGCTGCAAGTCCTTTGCTTACGAGACTGAAACAGAAACATGTTTTCTCAACTCAAAAACTGATATGGAGGTTGTAGCGTCTGACAAAGTGAACACCGCAAACACTGTTTACAGCAACATCGCCGACTGGCCCGGGAGGTTAGCGGGTGTATGTTACAACCATACATGCTCTCATGACTCCATCTGTGTCGACAGGAACGAAGTAGCCACATGCGACACTGTCTACTGTTTCCCCCCGACGTCTCCAACTAACGGCCGCGTACTCCTGGACGGAAGTCCCTTCTACGAACGTGGCCACAAGGTGGAGTTTAGGTGTAACACTGGCTATCGTGGTGACGGGGAGCTGGTGTGTGGGGAAGCGGGGGTATGGGAAGACACCGCCATCTGCATCCCTCCTCCAGTGACCTGTAAAGAAGTGAGACAGTGCAATTCGTCCTATGGGGATGGTGAGTACTGGTTGCTGTATAACTCCTCTAGCAATGTTGCTGTGAAGATCTATTGCTGGAAGATGGAGCTCGGCAACTTTTGGGAGTTTATCACCTTACCAGAAGAACACAATTTTGCTCTTTTTCCCACCAGCTGCGAGAATAAATGGAAGACTTCGTATTGTGGACGTACAACCTTTGCCAAGGTCAGAGTTTACCACAAGAAATTATCTGGGTCGAATAGAAAAGACTTTTCAACGGCAGAGTGCTCCGGTGGAAATGCCCCGATTGGACGAGCCGGAAGTTGCAGTGAGGAAGATGCATGTCGCGACAGAGAACCGGGCTATTTCAAAATCAACACGACCGGAACGGGTTTTATTATCGACCCGGATGTGACCTGGAAGGTTACGGTTGGTCACGTGAACGTCACAAGGTCAGATGACGGTCAAGTGATTCATGGCACGTGTCTGAGCAACTGCGGCCAGTGTTATCCCGATACTCTATCCGACTGGTATCCTTTGTTCTTCATCCCAGATCCGAACAACCAGCCCCCGGAATCGGCTGCGGTAGTCCCCATCTGCAAATGAACGGCCGCGGGTGTCACCCTTCCTATGAAGAATATAGATTTCACCAATTCCAGTTCATCTAAGGCAACTCAATCCGGTTTGCAAAGTAGTGTCCTTTAAGCGTGCAAAAATCCAATGATATGTCACCCTTCCTATGAAGAATACAGATTTCACCAATTCCAGTTCATCTAAGGCACCTCAATCCGGTTTGCAGAGTTGTGCCTTTAAGCGTGCAAAAATCCAATGATATGTCACCCTTCCTATGAAGAATACAGATTTCACCAATTCCAGTTCATCTAAGGCACCTCAATCCGGTTTGAAGAGTTGTGTCCTTTAAGCGTGCAAGAATCCAATGATATTGGATTGAAAACTCAGATTCACCCTTATTGTGATTTTGATTATTATTATAGTTAGTGAGTTCCATACACGTGTTTGTGGTTTTCACCAAAGTGGTAAACGTCTAAGACCTGCATTAACTTGAAGCTTTCTTCCATACTAAGTTACCGTGGTATAACGTGGCACGCTTTTCAAAGTGACGTTAAACCAAAGTCACTCACTCACTCACTCTATGGACAGGAACCTCCATGCATCTACCCAAGGAAGTACGTACCTGGCAACAACACCAGAATGTTACTTGGGGACCCTTTGGACGGTGTGTGTGTGTGGGGGGGGGGGGGGGGGGGGGGGGGGAGAATCGAAATCAGATATGTGTTTCAGCTATAGCTACGAAACCGGACATATTTTAATTTAAAAGTATAAGCCTGAATTTGTTTTAAAGAAATTAACATTCATTAATTTGCGAGAATGTAACTTTGGTGGCAGGCATTTTCTTTCTTCTTCAACAGCCTTAATCATAATTATATTTTTCGATAATTCTCATGGACAATTTATTTAATTCGATAAAATCCCACCTTCCAGCTCCCCTCTCACCCTTAAATGGTCGGTCCCTTAATACTTACGTGTGGTGCGATGCAAGAAAGCGATAGAACGAGAAAACGATATATGTCCCCTAATACCGTACATTGAAAAGGGTTTTTTTTGCTTACATTCAGCGATCCATTCCTATAATTTTCACCGCTATTTTGTCTTTCATCCAAGAATCTTTCAACATTTTGTGGTAAATAAATGTGTTAGATATACATGTAGATACTGAATGTTGTCACGTATCGTTTGTTGCCACGCATGTGTTTACTTTCTGTTGTTGCAGTAAATTAGCACGATTAACATACACTCCATCAGATAAGTCGTTGACCTTCACTTTATTTCGCAAGTGCTCCACAGAAAGTTCGCGGATAATATTTTTGCCAAACTGACTTTCCCCTTTCATGTGAGTTACTAGTTGTATGCCTAACAACAGTTTTATGCCTAACAACAGGAATATTCATAGTTATGTAACATGTCGCTATCTATTAAACTGTTTTGTTGTTATCAATTGAGCGTTCTGTTGTGAGTTATGTAAATATCTCCCATGTGTCTCTCCATATGTGTACATGTGGTTTACCGAAGTACACATATCAACTGTGATAACACCATTGTCACAGCGCTAGGGTAGCCTAGTGGTTAAAGCGTTAGCTCGTCACGCCGAAGACCAAGGTTCGATTCCCCACAATGGTACTATGTGTAAAACCCATTTCTGGTGTCCCCCTTGGTGATATTGCATGAATATTGCTAAAAGCGGCGTAAAACCATACTCACTCACAGCGGTGTTTATCAAACTACTACATGCAAGTACACATACATGTAGATTTGTGTACAAGACAAGAGACACAATACAAGTTGGAAATAAATCAAATGTCAATAAGAATATTTACGGACAACCGTATTATGGCATTCACACTCTAACGGCATATTCTACTCAAAACAAGTTAAAGAACACCGACAATCATAAGACTGTATTTTGCAATACCATCAGCCGTGATAGATTAACCATTCTACCATGAATTTGGAATTTACTCGATTCTGATTGGTCAATCAGAGGCTATTAAATCACAATAAACCCCCTCTGATTGAAACAGTTGGTTTGACGGCCGCATCACCGCGGAAGCTAATTAGGAGATAAACATACTGTGTTTTCAATGTAACCTAGCTCTACGGAAGCTAATATTCATAGAATAGTACTATTTTCAGTCAGTGTCGGTAGGCATATTTAAATAATTATATCTGTAATTACAGGTTACAAAATGCACAGACGCGGTTACTACAATATTCAAAGGATGTGTGGCAATACATTTCGTGCAGAAAACACGATAGAGATCTACACAGGGAATGTATTTACGTTTTGGAGACACAGAGAGCTTGGAATTTTGGCGCTTTTCTATATACGACTGTGACGTCATTTCTTTCGCGTCACAATGAGCGATATGACGTCATAATGGTGACGTTCGATGTAGAGCGAAAGCCTTTCAAAGCTTGCTTTGTTTTCTTTAGGGAAGCCCACCTCATGTCAGCTTACCAAGCTGCCGTGCTTATATGCTTTCAATGCCTGTCATATGTTAGAGTGAAGTATTACGGTGTAAACAAACTGCTTGAGTATATACGGCACCATATTTTGTTCGGTGATTCCGTAATTCAGATCGATAACCCACTCAAAATACTGAACTCAACCAATGCCGCTTCACTCAGTATATTTGCTAACACCAAAGAGTTCGCATTTTATTTAGTCATGGAAGAATGGAGATAAACATACTGTGTTTTCAATGTAGAGCTAGGTTACCTGTAGATTTAACCGCGCTAAATTTAACATTTGAAACCTCACGCTGCGCGTTCGGTTCCAAATTCAATTTAGCGGGGTTAAATCTACAGGTAACCTAGCTCTACATTGAAAACACAGTATGTTTATCTCCTAATTGCCATATGATAATGAAAACAAAATGTGTTTTCTTCCTGCTTTGGAGTATTAGATATTTGGATTTTAACCTGATTTATATGGAGAGAACTGCCATGACCAACTACACTCTGACGGTGTGATGGTCCTATAAAATGAATAATATTTTTTACTGTAGTGTCACTCATAACATTACACGTACAGATACATAATATAACAATGTGGTATATTTTAATCAGGGCCTTATTAGGCCGATGTGCCATTTACAAACTGTTGTTGTTCTTCTTGTTTTTCAGATAAAATCTCCATGTGGTATTAAAACATGTTTATGTACCCTTACGATTTTACGTAAGAGTAAGTGAGTGAGTTGGGTTTAGCGCCGCTTTTAACAGTATTCCAGTTATATCACGGCGTGTCAGCTTAATGTGGGAGGAAAGCTCGAAGTGATGCAGGTCTCAGACGTTTACCACCCACGAGCACGAGTGTGGTGCTGACAAACCTAGAAACATAATCGGTTCGAACCGGGATTCTAACCCACAATCATAGGATTCTGGCGTGCTCAAGAGACTGCAACTCTGACGACTAGGCCACGCGTACCCCTTTTTACGTAAGGAGGTATACAAAAAAATATATAACTTGAAGACAAAAGAACAGTTTATAAAACATTTTATCCAATGTTTCTAAAAAAACATTTTTGGAAGTAAAGGTTCCATTTTAACATCTTCAGTGTTATTAACAAATGCAGGATTATTAAAAATATACGATACGCATTCATTTGGCGGAAGAAGGAGATTACAATATACCCATTCTGGTACCCCTTTTTCATTTTTGTGCATTCTACCAATGACAACATAACTGACGACGGTTGTTATTGGCAATGATAATATCATAAGTCACCAGCGACCATGTGACCCAACAGTTGGTTGATAACAGTATGAAGAGTAGTGGAATTTACATCATGAGCTTTTATTATTAAGTCCACGATCTGCAACACGTTTTTTTTATAATTGAACAACTTTGATGAAATGTTTGTTCGTTTCGGAGAATGAAACTGTTGGTGGTTCTTGAAATTTGAAATGATGCGATTTTTGTCTGAGAATGTTTCTTAAACTTTAAGTGCATCAATTCCCTTGTTTGCACATTTCAAATTCGGGAACATGCGGTCTAAACGTTTCAAAGCAATATCGAACTCTCCTTTCTTGTCGCTACTGTGAGATCTTACTTTTTGGAGACCCACCAATCAGCAATTTGCTGGAGTCGTTTGATTTCTTTCAGTGACACAGAGTAGTCTTGTTCTTACTTTGTGCCCGGCCGCGTCATACCAACAGACGTTAATAAATGGTACTTGTTGTTGCCCTGTCTGGCGCTTGGCATTAAGGGGCTAAACAAGAACTTTTCGGCTCGAAGTCAGCATACTGTGTCTGAGTGGGGTATTTATGTTAAACTGCGACATGGTATCTCAGTGGATTAGCACTATACATCGGCATCACTCCTGACACTAATAGTACAAGCAGCCACACACACACACACACACACACACACACACACACACACACACACACACGTTGTATAAGTGCAATAATCTTGGACGCGATGTTAAACACCATTTCACATCACATCTTAATTTGTGCAGTCCCAATGGTTCCTGAAGGAGAGGCAACAAATCTTCCAAATGAAGGGTATTATTTGGCCTTGCTCCTTTCTGGTAACCATGGCTGCGGCAGCATCTTTGGTATGCTGGAAACAAGACTTAATACAGCGGCACTGGCAGTTCGTTGGTTAAAAAGACAGCCAACGAACTTGAATTTGTCATTACATCCATGGCATTGCTGTACCAAGCCATCGAATTCAATGAACTTTTCTGGACATACTATTAGATCGACTGTATTTAAGGGTACTAGATGGATGCTTTAATTTCTCTACTATCCAAAGTGTCTTGTAAATGATAAAGTGATTTTCAGAATTGCTATGTTGGTAGTCTGTTGATGCTCGATCTCTGCCAGGCGACTCGTGTCGACAATTTCTGTTGTCATCTCCACCAAAATCAATAATAAAGGTGGCCATATTCTTTCCTCGGCCTATTACAAACATTCCTGCTGATAAAATATTTACATGTTCAAAGAGAACCCGCATTGGATATTAAGAATTCAGAACAAGTAAACCTTTGATTTGATGTTTCATGTGAAGACGTTTTACTTTGTAGACTGTCAAATATTCACAGAATCGATAGCGGATCAGTGAAGCATCAGGGACATCAGTTCGTAAGTGCGTTGTCCATCGCAATGCTTAATGTGCTCTGATTGCTCGAACAAAGATCGTTCTGACGTGACCTGCCATGGGATGTGCTTATATCGTTGTGTGGCGGTAGCTACCACTTCGATCTGATAGTAAAGAGATTGCGTTAAACCAAACTCACTCACTCACTCACCCTGACTGTAACTCATCCTTGTCGCGAGAGAGGACTTAAAGGATCGGGTGGTCAGGCTGGTTGATGCATGTCATCGTATCCCAATTGCGTAAATAGATGTTCAATCGCGTAGATAGATGTGCGGCGTCAATCAAACAAACACCGTGGTCGTAAGATTAATCCCAATCGTGAAAACGGCGGCCTGTAAATAATCCAGTCTTGGCCAGACAGTGATGAACGACGTCCAACTCCCGTTTGGATATGATGACATGCAATCAAATAAGTCACCGAGCCTAACCCCCCGATCCAATGCAATAGCTGTCGAGAAAGCGATAGAGCGCCTACTTTAACCCGGGTTTACACAGGATCCGCGATTTATTTTGTACCATGTACGACATTTTCTCCAAGCGAACGATTCATGTTATACCGGACAGGTTCAGTTTCCGCACTTAGCGAACAATGACTCGTTCAGCACTTGAAGATCGTGATGCATTCGACATTGTACTGCATTATTGTATTTTCGTTGCGTCTCATTGGATGCAATCTATCTTTTCTTCCAAATTTTTCAATTTTATGCGTATAGGACGCAGGATTTTGCGTCCCGTAAATGAATGGCCTAGGGGACTCTGCACAGCTAATTTCGAGTCCTGCTTAAACAACAGAGCCACACGACTGGTAGTCATCTAGGAGGGATTAAATGTATTCAATGTCTATAGTGTAGCCAGCGGGCAATAGTATACGCTGTCTCTAACTATTTGTAAACAAATGAATCATTACGTGATAGAAATTGATGTCATTGTACAACAGCAGCTGCTGCAGGGATGCCCGAGGGATGGAGATTGACCGAGCGCTTCAAGCTAACGCTGATGTTGCTGCCCGTGAAGATGCGGTTTAGAATTGATTTTCCGCAAGCCATCCTGTCGTAAGAGGCGACTAACTCGCTGGCTTGATTGATGCATGTTATCGTATTCCATGACGCTGTTTAAATTACCTCTTTGATCTAACGTATCATTGGTAATGTCGTCCTCATGCATTAGCTATAATTATCGACCTGTGAAGATTCGTTGTAGAACAGGTTTTTAGCAACTCATGCTTGACGTCGTGGCTGGTATGTTATATACATGCATGACATATGGACTACATTTAAACTATCCTAAACACTAATTATACATTAAAGTCAAACAAAGAACCTGAAATTGTACATGTAGCTACAATCATAATTCATACTACTCAAGTTCAAAATTAATTATTTACATACTTTACTTGTTCAACATACCGGTTACAAAATACAAAGTGTTTTTAAAAGAATATTTGATGAAATATCATATATTTAATTTCATCTCAACCTGTTGCATATTTGCACTGCGAGGACTCAACCTTTCTTGGAAATCAAAGCGACCAGTCATGATCATTTCTTGGAAGTTAGCATGCCATCCCTCATTGTTGCATATTTGCACTGCGAGGACTCAACCATTCTTGGAAATTCCTCCAAGCGACCAGTCATGATCATTATACCCCCGACAAAATGTCGGGGGTATATAGTTATACCAAGGTTCCGTCCGTCCGTCCGTCCGTCCGTCCGAAAACTTTGTCCGCGTGATTTCTCTTAAACTATTCAGGGGATTCATCTCAAACTTAGTACATATAATCTGTGTCATATGGAGGGGTGCAGTCCAAAGAAAAAAATGTTTTTTATTAATTTTCCATTTTTTTATGAATTTTTCAAACCCTAACGTCCGTCCGAAAACTTTGTCCGCGCGATTTCTCTTAAACTATTCAGGGGATTCATCTCAAACTTAGTACATATAATCTGTGTCATATGAAGGGATGCAGTGCAAAGATAGAAATTGTTTTTATTAATTTTCCATTTTCTTTATGAATTTTTCAAACCCTAACGTCCGTCTGAAAACTTTGTCCGCGCGATTTCTCTTAAACTATTCAGTGGATTCACCTCAAACTTAGTACATATAATCTGTGTCATATGAAGGGGTGCAGTCCAAAGAAAAAAAAATTGTTTTTATTTATTTTCTATTTTTTTATGAATTTTTCAAACCCTAACCAGGGTTTCCCCTGACGTAGGATTCTTGCGTATATGACTCTCAATTAAGGAAAAATACGTCCAGAAATAAATGACTGCGTCATGACTGACGCAATTTCAAAATATCTATGTTGTTGTTTACCAGCTTTGGAATGAAAATATTACAACTACTCACCTGAACTTAATTTATAAACATTTTCCGAAGACAATATATGCAAACGTCTTAAAATTTACGTCTAGTTTTTAATTAATCGTCGTTTTTAGAAGTAACATAACTTCGCATAACACCACTGCCACGGGCTTATTTGCATAGCCAGTCACATGACCAGACTTTTCTCTCGTTTTAAAACAAACGCTAAAATCAGAACAGCTGGGGGCTTTACATATTGTTTTGCATAATTATATAGATATGCTACTAAAACTGTGTGACTGTGAGGTACACGACAAAATATATTTATTCATCAAAGTGAACGTAACTCTCTCACTCCGTGTGGCTTCGATGACAGCACGCGATGTAAACAAAGGAAAACTCCGCAAATGGACAAAGTTTTTCACGTTTCGGCATATTTTCTCACTTAAAGTTAACCATGACATATGTTTGTTTATCTAGATGTGTAGACTCGTAAAAAATGAAACAGAAGAATATTATATTAGATTTGGCGCGGTCACGGTATGTGGTTAAGCGGAACCTATGGAACGGGGTAAATGGAAGTTGTAATTATCGGAGGGACACATGTTTTTGCCGAAATTTAGGTAAACATTATTGAATGAAATTTTAAATAAAATTAATAAAATAGATGACAAACATAAGGTCAGATATACAGAGAACACATTTTTATTACCAGATAGTGTAACAACAGGATTAACTTGCGTAATTCAATTCGGATTTGTTATGCTATTTCCGATGACGGATCATGACAGCCTGAAATGAGACTGAAGATAAGTCTGTGCGTATTATACACGAGAGATATTTTTTTTAGGATTTAATTGCCCATAATTAGGGGTGCGTTTTATACACGAGTGTGTATTATACACGAATAAATATGGTATATACGAAATGTAAAGCTATACACGAATAAATATGGTATATACGAAATGTAAAGCTATACACGAATAAATATGGTATATACGAAATGTAAAGCTTTGGGCGTGTTTGTTGTTGCTCATAAACTGTATTCAACCAGAAAATATTACGAGTGTTCACAATTCTTCAGTTCAACCTCACTGTTGATAGATAATACAAGATAACTAGATAAAAGATTATTATATAATCTGACATGAAATGTATTTTAATATCCATCCATGATTAAAAATTATGTCTCACAGTTGAGACTGGTGTTAATTATTCATCCTGTATAAGTGTCACTGTAAATTGTTTTATGAGCTGTGAAGTAATTAAAGATTGTGAAAAAATAAAACCAACAAACTTTGTTTTTCATTCATATATCCTTTATTTCTCTGCAGTACAATCAGCTGAGAACATTAATTAGCACTTGTTCACTTAAACTAAAGACATATAATATTTAAAAGATACTTAACTTTAAGTGTAACATTAACAGTGAACACTTTAAATTTCATTAATCATACAATAAAACATTTGACTCTCAAAAAATATTTTTGACTCCCAAAAATTCATAGGCTGAGTCAAGATGACTCTCAGATATTGGAGTCTAGGGGAACCCAGCCTAACCCTATCCTAGCTATTTAATTTGTAACTACTGACACACTAGGCGGGTCGGGGGTATTAGTGAGCCACGCTCACTTTTGCACTTGTTTCTTGGAAGTTAACATGACATCCCTCATTGTTGCATATTTGCACTGCGAGGACTCAACCTTTCTTGGAAATCAAAGCGACCAGTCATGATCATTTCTTGGAAATTAGCATGCCATCCCTCATTGTATGAGTGACAGATTGTAAAAATAGCGAAAAAGAACGCTGAACTAATTTATTTCTCCAACACCCTTTATCAAATTATATTAATATTATAGTCATTTTGAAGTCGAATTCATGTACCAGTTGGTTTGAAATAACTCTCCAACAGTAATACGTATTAAAAATGACTATATATTCACGCCGAACTTCGAACTGACTGAACTAGACTTACTTCCGTTACTCTTGGCTGTCCGTGGCCGACAAAGTAGTTGTTCACGGTGACGGTGCCGTTTACAAATTGCACGCACCCAGAAGACGATTCCGATCTGTCGTTATGTTCCACATTAACTTGATAATTTACTGGTGGAAAGGAGCCTATTGACAAAACCATTGTCCAAAGATTCATCCTGAAGTATGGTTGAATACTGCACGGTTTTTTAGCTGAAGACGAGCGGTCCTGCCACATAAAAGGCTGATGATTTTTGTGACACAGTTGTAAGTGTATGTTTTACTTGATTGTATGTATTCTGAAATAGATTTCATCATGTTTGATAAGCTGTTGTGAACATGTGTTTGTATGATGTACCAGTGACTGACAAAAACATCTGCTAGCATTATACTATTCAAATGGTTTATCGGTAATCAATTTTATATGCATCGATGCGTAGGCTATCGATAGATCGATGTGTTCATAAGTAGATTTTTATGTGAAAGGGCATCTTAATTTTACGATATCGAATCAAATTAAATACCTGATTTTCAGCTCATTTTGACCAATCAGAGTCAAGCAGTGTTTGTTTGTTGTTTTACGCTGCACTCAGCAATATTCCACCTATATGACAGCGGTCTGTAAATAATCGAGTCGGGACCAGTCAATCCACTGATTGACATCATGAACATCGATCCACGCAATTGGGATACGATGACATGCATCAACCAAGTCAGCGAGCCTGACCATCCGTTCCGTTAGTCGCGTCTTACGCCAGCATGGGTTGCTGAAGACCTATTATAACCCTGATCTTCACGGAATCCTTCTTCAGTGGGGGCACGGGTGGCTCAGAGGTCTAAGGCGCCGCGATTCGCTGTGCAGAGTTGCGTCCCTTGGGCACGCCAGAAACCTATGATTGTGGGTTCGAATCCCGGTTCGCCCCGATTATGGTTCCAGGTTTGTCAGCGCCATACCCGTGCTCGTGGGTTTCACCGAAGTGCTTCGGGCTTTCCTCCCACATTAAGCTCACACGTCGCGATATAACTGGAATACTGTTAAAACCGGCGTTTCACCCCACTCACTCACCTTCTTCAGTGACATGGTAGAGTAACAGTAATGACGACTAACCGCAAAGTACGTCAAGTTCAGTCACATCCAAGTTCGGGGTGAGGTTGTTATACGAATACGTACATACACCCGAAACACAATTTTTAAAACGTGCGGTGTCACCCTGGGCAAGTGACTTAGTTTAAATGTGCCTCTGTTCACCCAGCAGGGAATGGGTACCCGATACGTGAGGTGGATGTAAACCAAAACCTAGCGCCCGTAAGCAGCTTGGGTTGTATACTCCCAAGGGAGTTGAGAATGATAACTCGAATGCAAACGGATCCACTGTTCGGGGAACAAATAAAATCGCCTTTGAGCAGATACTAGAACCCGAATACCTGCGGTTTATAAATGTATAATATAATATAATGACATAGTATTCATTGTTAAATTTGTATTCGTGTTACTTTTTTCCAAATGATACAGAAGTACAAATTCAAAACAACTCAACTATTGTTTTTAAATTAAATGTTTGTTGAGAAAAATAGTTTTTGTCACGACAGTAAACTACGGTTATAATGAACACGCTTATAACGAACTGACCAGTATAACGAACTTATTTTTTTAGTCCCGGCCATTTGATGTATATATGCTGTACGTATGCTTATAACGAACTACGAACTAAAATTAGTGGTCCCTTTGAGTTTCTACAGCCTGTGACCCCCACAACGGGCGATGCCATGCTGATTTCAAGAAACGACTCAGGTGAAATTTAAACATCTATCATTGGAGGGTTTTTTTACCACTTTATTTTGAAAAAAACCTATGTATTTTGAAATATTATTTTAAACCAGTCAACAGTGTAAGTAAATAATATAAAACTTGAGTAATAGTTTTTACATATTTATCACCACCTAGCTGAAACTCCTTTTACGAATGTTCTAAAATTGCTGACCTATGTTCCCATGGGTCAATTACGCGTTGCAAAAGACTACTGTTTTAAAGCGTTTTTGTCGTCACGGTAGACTGGAGATAACATGCGAGGTTTCAAATTAAGATAAAAGACATCGAATCTACGATGAGACGACCTCAAATTTCAAACCACAGTTAGTTTATCTCGTGGAAGCCCTCGTAAAATGTCGCTCAACAACCTGCGAACGAGAAGTGCTCACGACAAATGTCTTCGTGTATAGTTCTTCGTTCCGATGACACCAAGCAATGGATTATAACAAAAAGCCATGCTTTGATCAACAAATCAATCCCGTGTGCTATCTTGCTTCTGACTCAATATGAGATTTATTTGTCCACCTGTACAATGAGGTCGATTTGCTGGAGCGCGAGTCACGTGACCCAAACAAACTGACACGCGGGTCGTTTTGTCGTGAGCGTTATATAGGCAGCTAGATCGCGAGTGATGCGGTTAGGGAAATACCAGGGAAATACCTAGAGACATGTTCGGAATTTCTTCTCAACACAGGATTTGACTCATTTCGAAACTAGGTGAGTGGTTTGCAATGCTTTCATATTGTGGGGAATATTCCATTTATTGTATACTATCTTGTCGTGTGGTTGTTATGCTGTGTTAGCCCTGACAACACTGTTACATGGAAAGTCTCTTTCGCAATATCGGGTTTTCTTTGCGACATTTAGCTATATTGATTTTCATTTAAGGGGAAAGTTATTGCGTTAGAAGCCTAATACACAGCGAGTATTATGCGTTTTAGGCGTGAGTGTGAGCCTACTGGAGTCTTATCAACCTTACAATCTGGCCTTAGGAGATGAAATAGGCTACCAGCTAATTATCAGCTGATATGCGGTAACCTTTCATTATGTAAAAGTCTTTTAATAACCATGCTAACGTATTCATGTATGTATTCTACAAAATAATAACAAACAAAATGTATATTTCTTTTCTCCAAATTATACAATATATTAAGTGTCATATATTGAGTGTAAGTATGGTATTGGTAGGCCTAAAAACAATTTTATTTCTTGTTCAGACAGCATAATTAACAAAAATTACGATTTAGATTTCTGACGGAAATTCTAGACATAAATAATTTTTTTACAAAAGTACAAACTAAGTTGGGTTTTTGTGTATGTATTTTTTTCACATGTGATATAGAAACAGCATATTCCTGTGATCTCAGTGGGTTGAATTTGCTATTTTTCATATTCTGATATGTCTTAAAGTGGATAGTCTTTTTTATCACAGTTTAAGTTTTTGAGTGCAAAGCTGATGATGAACACCCTCATGTCGACTCTAATTCCCAAGAAAGTTGTCTTGTGTGAGTGAGTAAATATTGTTATATAACACAGTTTGCAATATTCCAGCTGTTAATAACAGCAACCTCTAAATATTATGATGAAATGAGGGAAAAAATGAAAGCTGAAAAGCACTGATATATTTATAATTCACAAATTGCAAACTTACATGTTTAACTTAAATAATTCTCTGTACAATAGCTAAAACTGCAAGGCTGACAAGGAAGCTCAACTGACACTGTCCAGATGACAACATACTGACATTACTCTTTGAAGAACCAAAAAATATCTTCATTTTTTAACTTTCCCACCTATCGATCCGGAGTTTTCACCAAAAAATCTGTAAACCAAGATGTCCTGACCTTACTCTATCTGTTTAATTTACCATGCATTTAAGTTGCCAAGCAACCAAATTCTTTGGTGGCCGTATGACCAAATTCTGAATCTGGCATCCATAGCTACAAATTGCCTTATATGAAAAACTTCGCAATGACTGCAGTTTTTTTCAAACAACTCAATTCAGAACCCTGTTTCTGTAAATTGGGATTTTAATCTTCAAAGTTGGCATATATCCCATATGATGACATGCTTTGATGTTTTCAGTAAGCAATGACGCCATTTGATTACTGTGAGTGAAACTGGACTTGGAAGCCTGGTTTTGATTTTTAGTTTGGCCGCTTGGGAAATTGTGACTCCTTCGAGCTGCTTGGGTTGCCATTGAAATAGCAGTCAGGGCCTGGTGGAGCCCTTGGAACATCTTAAACATTTAGGCCTTCCTTGAAAAAAAAATGTTGTGATTTAACTTAAAATGTCCTCTATATTTTACCTTTGAGAAAATGATTGCCAGATCAAATAACCCAATTATTGATGTGTTACCCAAATGAATGAGAGATAGTGGCGATTTCCCACAGGGCACTTGATGCTCTTAATATGACTAGACACAGACTGGGTAGAGAGGGAGAGGTGTAGACAGTCCGTCTCTAACTGTCACAAGTTATCCCAACTTCTTAAACATTTTCAACCCTTGGGATTTCTAAGTAACTTTCAATAGGTTACCATGGTTACAGCCAAAGACCATATACCGACATGGTCTCTGATTACAGCAGACATACTGATTCCGGTCAATAATTCTGTCTTCCAATAGCACAGAGATGTAAAATATTAAATGCTAATGTTAATCAAATAAGACAACTATGTTCCTTGCTTGTTTTAGTTTAAATTAATATGTAATATCACATATAACTTTTAATCATGTTTGTTTGCTGAAATTGCCCTTGAAGTTGCACTCGTACTTGCCTGACGAAAAAAGATTGTAAATCTTGTCGTTTTTGTCACACCTGACCCCGATGAATATGGAGACTGTACTCTACCACAGGTGACGTAAGATTGCGTATGCTCAGAGGCCATTGGTTAAAGATAGATTCCAAGAATTCCTTAAAGGGCAAGTTCACACGGAAATGAACCAATTTTTCTTGTACTTTTTCCACATTAAAAGTGTTAACATAGAAGTGTCATAGACAAAAATATAAAAACATCATATTTAATTAACATATTTTTTGCATTAAAACGATTTATATTTTTCACATTTACCAAGTGTTCTATTTCCATAACAAAAACACCATGGCTTATGCCCCTTGCAATATGACGTCATTGGTGCCAATTGATAAACATTATGACGTCATCATGCTTTGTTAGAGCCGCTTCACGTGGTGTAGGTACAGTTTTGTGATTCTAGCGTCTCAGATGCCAGCCAGAATTGTGTTATGCTGAGTCACTACTGCGCCGGAGTGTGTCGTAGACCATGTTGTTTTACCGCAAACTGGTCCTTGATATCTTTTGCGTTGAGAATAGACAGGGACCCAGTTGAATTGGCACCAATTACGTCATAATCTAAGGGGGATAACTCAGGGCTATTTCGCTCGTAAAACGAAGGCCTCATAACGGCATATCATTTTAACACTATTGTGAGCTTCCT